GCCCCAGTAGATAGTTGTATGTCATAGCTGCACATCCTTCTAGTTGCTGTATGTGGGACGCCGCCTCAGCGTGGCCAGAGAAGCGTTGCGTTGGTGCGCGCCCGGGATCTGAACCTGGGCTGCCAGTAGCGGAGCATGCGCACTTAACTGCTAAGCCACGGGGCCGGCCCAGGTGACTTCTGACACTGACAAACTGGTTGAGAAGATAGATCTTAAGTAATTAACCAAATAAATGCATCACCATACCCTGTAAAAAGTGCTATAAAGTGAACAACATCTATAAAATCTTGCTACTCAAAGAGTAGTCCATGGACCAGTCACATCAGCATCACTTGGGAGCTTGTTAGCAAAGCAGAATCTCAGTATTCACCCAAGAACTACTGAGATAGAATGTGCATTTTAATAAGATCTCTGGGGGATTTCCATGCACATTAAATTTGAGAAGTACTGCTCTAGAGGGCACAGGGCTGTAAGAGAAAACAACAGGTGGACCTGAATTCATCTTGGGGATCAGGGAAGGGTTCCCTGAAGAAATGGCCTCTGATTAAGCTAGACAGGTAGGCAGAAGCTGGATAGCACAGAGCCTTGTAGGCCATGTTGAAAACTTTCATTTTTCCCTAAAAGCAACCCAAAGGTGTCTAAAGGTTAGAGTAGTCAGCTCAAACTGCCATAACAAAATACCATATAGATTGAGTGGCTTAAACAGAAATTCATTTTCTCACAATTCCGAAGGCTAGAAGGCTGGAAGTCTGTGATCAGCAAGCCAGCATGGTTGGGTTCTGGTGAAGGCTCTCTTCCTGGCTTTCAGGCGAATGCCTTCTTGCTGTGTCCTCACTTAGCCGAGAGAGAAAGAAAAGACCTCTGTCCCTGATGTCTTTTCTTATAAGGACACTAATCCCATCACAAAGGTCCCACCCTCATGACCTAATTACCTTCCAAAGGCCTTATCTCCAAATACAATCACACTGGGGCTTACGGCTTCCACACATGAAGTTGGGGGTACATAATTGAGTACGTAGCAAAAGTTTAAGCAAAGGTGTGTGGAATAATCAGAATTCCGTTTTTGATTGCTTATTTTGGCAGACACATAGGAAAGGGATTGAAGGGGTCACGAATACATGCAGGAGACCAGATAAGAGTCTATTTCAATGATCTATTTCTATGTCATGGTGAAAGACACTGATGAAAGACACATGGTGAACAACACTGGACAAAGCTGCGTTGGTAGAGATGGAGCAAAGTGAAACATTTCTAAATATTTGGGTGCCAAACTTGGCAGGCTTGATAATGGATTTCATATGGGGGTTGGGAGTCCAAGGAGGGTCTAGAATGACTGCCAGGTTTTTGGCTTGTTCAATTCGATGGATATGATATCAATTCTTGAGCTAGGAATCATGACATCAGCAAGTTTGTGCATGGCATCTTGCTAAATGCAATGAACAATGTAGACATGACAACAAGAATAGTCATCATTTAGTGAACATTTATCATGTGCCAGCCACTGTATAGATGTTTTATGTACACTATCTTAATTAATACACTACCCAAACCTAGCCCTCTGAGACGGGAAGATCAACTCATCATTAAGGGTTTAAAGGTCTGGTAAAATGAACAGTATAGAATGCTTCCAAAAGAGAACATCAGAGAAGACAGTGTGAACAGGGAAGCCATAAAAGAAGAAAGAGGATACAAGCTGAAGTCTAAAGGTTGGGTAAGATTTTGTTAAGTGAAGCTCTTGCAAGTCAGGTCTGGGGATGGAATTAGGAGCCAGGTCCTGGAGAAAGAAGCATGACTCCATCTGAAAGTTCATTTAGGAAAACAGTGGAGAAAACCTTCAGTAGAAAGAGAGGGGCCAGATCATGGAGGACCTTGACAGCCTGTAATGCGAATTTTATAGAGAGACGTATTTGAATATGAAAGGAACATGACTTTACATGACTTAGGAAAACCTGTCTGGCAACAGGGGAGCTTGAACATGGAGAAACTTGAATCCAGAAGCCAACTTATTAGCATTTGTATTATTCACATAATAGGTCAGAGTTCTGGACTAGCTAGGAGGAAAAACCAACAAGACTTAGTTCTATTGGAAGAAAATGGGTAAATGAGTCAAAGATGACTAAAGTTTCTGGAATGAAATTAAGGAAATTTTAGTTTCAAGATCAGATTTAGAGGGAGATCACGAAGAGTAGATTCATAAACCTATGATCGTCCATTTACATGCAGTATAATATTAAGTATATTAATATTTAAAAATTATTTTCTACCTGTTTGACCACAGAGATCATTTAAATTTCCAGAAAAATTACAGTAGATGAAAGCCTGCAAGTTACAATATATGATGGATTTACGTTGGGATGAAAAAAAGCATTGTAAGTATAAAATTCGTGGGGAATAAAGCATGGTATTCTATCAAAGAAATAGCCTACAAATCTTATAAAACATTGTTTTTTTAAAATGCAATTGGCAAAAATTAAAAGAAACCATTACATTCCACCTCAACTGTTACTTCATTGCAGATGCACCGAACAGTTGTTTATAAACAATAGTGCGTTAAGTTCAACCTTTCAGATGAATGGGGCTTTGTTCCTGCTTTGGTCTAGTCATGTAATCATGACACAATTTTTTTTCTTCAAAATATTCTGTTTAATGGAAGGAAAATGTATACTTTTTGTGTTTTCCAAATGCCACATTTTTTTTTCAAAGCATGCAGAAGCACTGTTGACTGGGGAAAAAATGAATAACCGTTACTAAGCGTTCCATTTCTTTTCCTGCTTCATCTCAGGGAACTTCAGCACCTCCTGGAACATCCTTTGTGGAGTGGAACCTGATGGTGCCCCTTGGATCATGTGCCATGCGCATGTGTATTCAGCAGTAAGCATCGTTCTGTAATCATTGCTTCATTAATGACAAGGTGGGCCAACGCACAGCATTTATCAAATGGTATGTAACGTACCTTAGGATTAGGCTAAGGCACACCTAATCCTTTCATGGGTGCCTGCCAAGAGGACAAAACGGTAATGTAGAGATGTCAATTTTATTGTTCAGAATTCCCTAATTGAAGTCCCCAGTGGTCTGAAAACTTTGATGAAAGATATATGGGCTACAGCAATTAACCACTGCAATAACAGATGTTACACAGGAAAACTGTGTGTGCCAGGGATACAAGCATGTTTTAATTTTGAATATGCACTTGGGCTAACACACTCTTCCTCACTAATGGAAATCATATGTAAGTGTTCTGTAAGGTATTAATTTCCATGGCAGACATTGAATTGTTTTTCCTTTAAAAATATATATATGCTTTGTCAAATGGAATAATGACTTCACTTTCATATAACCTGGATTTCTTTTGAATCTACAGAGTTGTGTGTTTTCAAAAGTATTTACAGGGCAGCCACAAGCTTTGGGCTGCCTGTCTTAAAGGGTGTTTTCTCCAGCTACCCGTCTCTGCTCTGCCAATTACATGCCACTTTGTCTTGGTGCTCTGATTGCTTTCTTCTGAGAGGGAAATTCCTCTTTCATCAGTATGGATGCACTGTTTTCACACACTGCAAGTGCTGTGTTGCTGTGTCAGTCATCCTATTAGGGCCTGTTTCAGACGAGTAGGGCTGACGAGCTGGCTGGGGATTGGCTGCCCACGGCTGGGAGGGATTTGTCGGAAGGAAGGGCTGCAGCTTACAGCAAGAGTTTAGACTGTCTTTGCTTCATCATCTGAAGGCAAAATTTTCCAGATACGGCAGACGGCTCTCAGAGTACAATAAACAGGGAATGAGAACTATTTACATGGAAATTTCTTCCTCATGATGCAGTGGAGAAGCCTCGGCCGCTTGATTCTGCCAGATGTTCCTGGGGTTACTGTAAAAGGGAAGGAGAGGCAGAGCTAAACAAGGTAGGAGAATCATCCCCCCCCCCACCTTTTTTTTGAATGTTTAAAGAGTTTGCTGCAGTATGCTGCATTCCATGTGTGTTGCTTAGGAAAGCCAGGGAAACTGGATTCCACTAATTCAAATGTAATACTTGCAGGGGACCCTGGAGTTTTACATAACATCTTGATTTGAGAAAAAGAAATGACAAAGCTTGAATCTATGCCGCCTGTTTGGGGTGAGGCATAAAACGACTTTTTATTCAAAGAATAGATCCATTTATTATTCAACAAAAACCATTTGAATTCTTGGGAGCATTCTTATTTTCTTGTTATAGAAATTTTTCATACAGCCACACTTAGCTTCTGAATAAATAAAGTTTACATTGATCCTATTACTTGAAAACAGACTTGTAATTAAGAAAAAAAAAACTTCATGGTAAATAATCATCGACTGAATGTTTAGCCAAAATATATGTCTATTTGCTAGAAATTAGGGACCTACCCAGCTCTACCATGCCTCGGCTTTGAGTTTCGAAAGCACATTTTTAACAAGCCAGCAAGAGGCAGCTTTCTGACAAGTTTTCGATACTGTATTTCAATGTTTACATTTCTTTTTCTGGCATGTCTGAGCCTTTGTTTCCAGCTTAAAAGTGGAACTATTACATTCAAAAGTAAAGCTGGGTTAATAACGCTTACTGCAATTATCTGATCTTTATGCATTTTTAATGAGAACACACAGCCAGCAGAATAATTTAATGAGGGCAGGCTAGCTTTTAAAGCTGTGTTTTCACTATGCTGAACCATATCAACTTTCTTGCCGAGAAGCAGCAGTGAGAAATGATGGAGAAGATTTATTTTTAACACACTTGGCCCAAGAGAAGGAAAGGATGTATTTGTTAAAGAATTCTTTCTGCCCTTTTCCGTTTTAAATTTCTGCCAGGCACGAGGAAACCGTGCTTTTTTGTTAGGCCTCGGAAGCATGTGTTCACAATAAATGGGTAACATTTTTAGAATAGTTAGCAAGCGCTGAAGCGAAGAAAGAAATCTGACTTGCCTCACCGCCACCGTGAACGTTCTTCAAGAAGCATTACTGTCCTTTTAAAGGACAAAGGTGAAGTAGGAAGATATTTGTTAATTGGGTAATATGTGCATTTGGGGGATAATAAAGTTAAAAAAAAAGGAAGACGTTATAATTTTTAAACAAGATGAAGTTTCTTCAGCCATCCTGCCTGTTTTGCGAGGAGTAGGAGAAGTATTCATTTAAATAAGGGCAATGCCACGTAGATTCTTCTAGACCCACTGTTTATACTTTCAAGGAGAAGTGCAGGACACTAGCCCAGAACTTCTGACGTCATCTCCCAACTATTTCTGCTGTATGTTCTTTTATTCAGGCTCATGGAAAGGAATATTTCTTTATGTCCTGGCCAGGAACACTCGAACTCTCACTTGGCAGGTCTTGAGCTACGTCTTCATATTTTAGCGAGTCCTTTCTAAACCTTAAACCGATCTCCAGCGTAACTAGGGCATCGTCTCCTACCTGCCTCACGTCGGGCGGGTCAGAGCAGGCTTTCTGCAGGGTTCTGGCTGCGCTGGCAGAAAGCAGCGGGGAGCGGAGCACGGCTTTGCTTCTGGCCCAACTTCCCCTTGGTGCAGCCCAGCGCTGCCACCTGGGTGGACAGTCCCTGTGGCCCCGTTCCCAGTTTCCCCGGAGCCACAATTTAGGACCCAGGTTATGCTGCCAAGTTCATGGCCGGTTGGGATGAGGGGAACAGCTGCTTTTATGTAGAGCACCGTGTCCTAGTACAGATGGGCCGAAGGAAGGGAAGTCCAATACGGCAGGCTATTAACCCTGTGTCACAGGTGGCGACCTTGGTCGTAGAGACTTGGGGAAGGTTAGTTTTTAATAAGGAGCCTTTTAAGAAAGAATTTCCATTAGAACAGATTGGAGTTCTCGGGAGTTCCCGGTTCAAGTTTGCATCCTCTTTCGGAGTGTTTGTGTAGCCTTGAGCAAGCGCCCATCCCAATTTTTCTGTCTCTTAATAGGATTGAATAATACTCGCTACACTTTCCCTCATAATTCTAGCATTTAGAGAGGCCTTGACCTTGTATCCAAAAAAAAAAAAAAAAAAAAGTTGTTTGTCTCTTGGCACAATGAGCTATTTAAAGTACAAAGGGATAAAACCTCCTTATTAATGAAACTCTTGGCAAATGCCTTAGGGTATTGAGATATATAGTCATATAAACAAAACCCTTTACTTCATGCTCTTGTAAATTTTCTAGGGACATTTACCTTTAGACCAACAAATAAAATTTCCAAGGAAATCAGAGCTTTGCTGTTTACATTTTCTCCATTTATCTGGTGTAATATACGGAAGCTGTGCACCAGACTATCTCAGACATAGGCCTTGTGGTGCCCACAGCAGTTAGTGCTATTTTTGCTTTGACTTTTCCATTAAATTTGTGAAAGTGGAGTGAATAAGAGAGAAAATAAGAAGAAAGGAGAAAAATATGCTTACAAAATATACTGGTTATATAGCATTACTGGTTAGCAGCCTGTCTTCTCTCTGCTAGTTGTTTTAATTTGCTGTTGCTATGGTGAAAACAAATCAATATCACATGGCTACCAGCCAGTCCCGCGCTCTGGGAGCGCCATAGAAATTCAAGATCAGGTACTCAAGATTCCAGGAAAGAAATGGGAGAAGAGGAGTTAGATATTGACCTTAAGAGAATTCCTTATGGTAGACTGACTAGGCTCAATCTTGCATGCATGTTCTCTTCCTTTCTTCCTGCATTTTCCTCCCGATAATAAGAGAAGATGAGAAGGAAGGTATATTGGTTTGTTTACATTTTTCAAAATGACAAAACATATTATCAACATAGACGTAGGTTGGTAAAAGATTCTGAATAATAAAAAGGTGGTACAACTGCAGGGCATGTTGGTTGTTGAAAACATAGTTTGGGGGCCTTTGATATCTCCAGGTACAGCTGGACATGAGAGCTGGCCGGGTCAGAAACAGTGACTACTCTCACATCAGGCAGAGAAACCTGGCAACCCTGGGACCAGGTAGGCAGTGGAGGTAAGGGGCATCATGGCAATGTAGGGAGGTATGAACCACCAACGCCAGCACGTAGCAAAGTCAAAGGAAAGCTGTATGTCCAAACTCAGGCCAGAACCCCAAGGGCAGAGCAGAAGAGGGCAGAGGACATTTAGCTCTTTTCACAAATTCTGCCTGAGGCCCAACCCGAAGCCCCAGCAAGGAAAGAGAGGAAGTGGCCACAAAGAGAAGTAAAGGTGTCATGTGCCCAGGCATCCCTTCTGGAATGGTCGACTGAATGGAATAGATGCACACTGCCGTGTGGACAAGGAACTTGGTATTTCATGCTTCGGTTTCTCTCTGAAGAACCAGGCAGGAAGATTTAGCAGGGCTTTGTAAATTAGTTACAATATTGGTTTTTCTCTCCTGCTTTTTACTCAGCGGAGTTGTTTTTTGTTTCTTAATGTGCACAAACTGTTAGTTGCAGCTGTGATTATATTCATAGTAAGGAGTCCAAGGTGGCGTCATGGCTGGGTCTGCATCAGGCCTGTGCCTCCAACTGCTCGGCATTGTTTGGCTGAGGCTAGTCCCGCCTCTGTTGCTGAGAGTGAAAACAGCAGGTGTGAAAGGTAAGGCCCCAGGGTTTCTTTGTGAACCTGGGCCACAGGGCTGATGGACAGGTTTTCGGCTGTCCTGCTCCCCTCAATATGGCAGAAACACTTGGTAATAAAAGTGGACCCACCGATTTACCTTAGTGCTCGGACAAAGAATGCATTGTCCAGGAGATCCTAGGTCCATATATTCCATCAATCAGTCAACAAGTGTTTATTAAACACCTCCTGGGTTCTCTGGCTTTTGCTATTTGGTTAGAACAAGTCAATTACCTAATACCTGACTTTGTGTGGGTGCAAAATAAAGGACAAAAAGAAATGGTGCAAAATTGTAAATTTCAAAGACTTTAATAACAACTTTATTGGCTAACATTAATTTAACATTGTTAACTATCAAACATTAATTGTAGGTTTGAGACAGTTTTGGTGTGGGTGGGGAGAATAAGAGAAGGAATTTCAAGTTTTAAATATTTATATGTACTCTCTTCACCTCTATCTCTCAGCATAAATGCTGTTTAAATAACATATAAAGATGTAAGATGAGCAATAGACATATGAGAATGCTGCAAAAAAAAAAAAAAAAACCCAAAAACAAGGCTGCTGAGAGCAATCATCTACCCAGTGATTGCCCAGAGCAAGCCGAGACTCAGCCCCGAAGAGGCTGAGGAACATGGGCACGCCATCTAAAAAGCCTTAAACACCAATCAACAAAAGGAAATCTGAGACCCTCTCCCACACCTCTGGGCCTCAGGGTGCCTGGGAAGCCCCTGATGCAATTATCTTACCTTCCCATCCCACTAAGGAAACCTGATTCCTGACCCTGGGGGATTAAACTTCCCCCCTTTTATTTTAAAAGCAGAGTTACTTTAAAAAATCTATTTCTCCTTTTAAATACAAAGTTTCTGTTTTGTTTTGTTTTTTTTTACCCTAATATCAAAATTAGTGTATATTCTCTGGGTGTAGGCAAGCCACAAGGTAAGGGACCCAGTATGGAAAAAGCTGGGAGAGGACACTGAGCTTAAAGAATTGTTTTTAGCTATGCGTCTTGGCAGGCAGATGGGCAGATTCTAAGGTTTACGAGCATCTAGGCAAGCTGGTTGCTGGGGAAGAGCTTTGGGGGTGGCAAGCCACTCAAAGGAGGAAGGGAGGGGGCAGGAGACAGGAAAACGCTGCAGGTCCCTGGTCCTAAGCAGTTTGCAATACACAATCGCAGGGGAACAAGATACTTACAAACAAGATAAGAATAGGTCAGCACACAAATGTCTTCAGAAGGATAATTAACATATGTATAGTTCCTTATGCTTTACAAAGGGCTTTCACAGACATTATCTCAATTAACAGTTCAAAGAGAGGGTTAAAAACCTGGAGCCTAAAATTA